TTCCTAAAAGGAACCACGGTTCAATAAATTTTATTTCCAGAATTTAGTAGCTTTGATTCATATCAAAAAAAAAAGTTCACTTACAAATTATTAAATATGCGACTAGCTTTATTATCCAAATCACTTTCATCATTTGATACGAAATTATAATCTAAGCCCATTGCAATATGACTGCAAACTTCATATAATGAGGGCGAAAGGGGGCCAGTCAAAATCGATTTTTTGACAGCGTAAGGATTAGTATTGACTACTTGATCCCATTCGTATGTGGTAAAAGTAGAATATGGACATGGTCTAATCAACACGATTATTGACTAAAATATAAATACGAGAAGGTTAAATTGGTATATTTTCAATGAATATGCAATGAAATTATAAATGCTTGCAATATTTCACACTTGTCTTTCCGTGTTATTTTTACACCATTTACTACATTTTTTATTAATTGCATTTGGTATTCTTTGAACTTTCTTGACACATTAATTGTGTTTACGATCCACTAAAAAGAAATTACAATTTTCACTTGATCGCCAAAAGTTTACGTCCGAAATTTCTTTTTGATTTTTTGATTTATGAAATTTTTTTAATAATTTTAATAATTTGCATTCTTCTATCCTTATTGGCATACTAATCAATTAATCTCAAATATTTTTCACGCGAAATTTGTTGTCATTCTTCTCTCAAATAATTTTCTAATTCCATCTTTATTTTTTGGGTGTGTAGGACATTTTTTAATCTTCTACCAAGCTCGTCTCATAAGTGTTGATTGGATCGAGGTCTGGAGATTGAGAAGGCCAATCTTCCAGAAAGCCTTACTTTTTTTTCAGATAACCATTTTATAACATTTTTTGCTGTATGAACAGGTGCGCTATCATCTTGAAATTTGTACCAGAAGTTTTCTTGAATGAATGGCAACAATTCATTTTCTAAAATATTTATGTGATCTCGCTGATTTCTTTTCTGATATGTTTATTTTTAAAATACCAATGATTTGAGATCTTTGGACCACAGTGAGTTTGCGATTTTACCCATTTTTTAAAGAAATTGATCAAACATTTCAAGATTTCAATATCAGGTTTTATTTTCATAATAATGACATCATAAACTAAAATCACATTTGTCATATTTGTAATTAAAAATACCCGAGCTATCAAATGATATAAAAATCACTAAATATTTATTTAGTACATTTTTGTAATAAATGAAAAAGAAATTTTGGATATAAACTTTTAGCGACAAGTGTATATTTTAGAGCACTTTCGTCAATAAGCGTGTTTATTAGACCATGTCCATATTCTATTTTACCACATATGAACGGGATCAAGTAGTCAATACTAATCCTTATGTTGTCAAAAAATCGATTTTGGTTGGCCCCTTTCATCCTCATTATATGAAGCTTGCAATGGGCTTAGATTATAACTTCGTATCAAATGATGAAAGTGATTTGGGTAGAAAAGCTAGTCACATAGTTAATAATTTGTAAGTGGACTTTTTTTTTTGATATGAATCAAAGATACTAAATTCTGGAAATAAAATTTATTGGAATCTGATTCCTTTTAGGAAAGAAAAGTTACCACTGGCGCCCAAATCAAAAATTACAGAAGATGAACATCAATTTAATTATCCTATCAAATCATCAACTATATAAACTACAAACTTACAGTTCTTTTTTGATAAAACTGGAGAAACCAGTAAGGCGTGAGTAAAGAAGATGGGCAATTAAACAAAACTTGGATCCGAAAGAAAGGAGGGCCTGAAAAAATTATTGATGGATAGTAGTAAGGTTTGATCATAAGAAATAGGAATTCAAAAGGGTATCGGCCAAATGTTCATTTTTTACTGAGAGAAAAGGTAAGCAAACAACAAAATAATAATGGCTATGTTCAACGTGTTTTTGAAAAAAATTATATAGATTATTAATTATTCAACTTTAGATGACATAATAAAGAGCTTAATAT